TTGTGTAATGTTTTGACGGCACTTGACCCCCCGTTCGAAAGGTTATATTGTGAGGATTTCAATGGTGGCATTTATTTAATAGGGGGGTAAATACTCGCCGAGATATTTATATTAGAAAAATTGTATCGAAATGTAATACGAAACTGGTTGACGAGAAAGAGTTAAATTAATATTGGATTTTAACTAAAATAAGAAGGGAAACGGCAAGTTTAATCGCAAAATATGTTTAAAAAATGCCAAAAATGTACATCTGGCTTTTCCCCCCCACCGTTTTGCAGAATTAATTGGTCTTAACTTGCCTTTTGGTGGAAAATTTTTGAGAGACGCGGCTTCGAAGTCGTTTTGACTTTTGGTGAGCAAAACATTGATAACATCGGAAAATTCACAAGCTTTGAGAGATGGAGGTTGGTAGATATTGTTGCGTTAATGCTTAGCTGTCCAGCAAGGTCAAGGAAGCAAATTGAAACAGATATATTTTATTTTGAAAACGTTTCGTGCGTTTTAGGCATTTTTTACTCAAGTTTCTCAACTTGAAAACAACAAAATAAAACAAAATGTTGGTTCTTTCATCTACATCCAGTAAATTTCTCCGTCAGTGACTTAAAATATGGCGTCATTGCTCACGTTTCATGGCGTGGATTACACTTACTGCCAAAATGGCGGCTAACGCGTGCTCATAAAAAAATCGCGGACACAATTTTGGCTAAGTGAGACATCTCGTATTATCTATAATCTATGGTAAAAATATGCGCGTCACGTCACTGAGTACATGTTAGGAGAATTTCAATGTCGATCTTTTGAGTAAAATTTTTTATTACGTAAAATCTTCTACTTATATTGTACAAGAAATAGAAGAACTCGTCTCGTGCGTTTATGGTGTGATAATGCACTCGGCGAATGTTGTGAGAATACTCGAGAAGCGTTGGGAGAATACGCTTCTCTCGTATTCTCCCAACATTCCCCGCGTGCATTACCACGCCATAAACGCACGCGACTCGTTTTCTATTCTTAAATAAACGAGCAGGAGTGTTTTATTAGGTTTAAAGCTACGAGAACGCAGCGCGAGTGACTTTAGGCCTATTGAAACATGACTTTGCGAGTTTATTAAACAGCTTCAAACACGGCTACAAATTCAATAAATATGCTGCGTTAGAATAATACTAAGAAGAATACTAATGAGGACAATTAAGACTACAATAGATACTGCCTTATTAGTATTCTTTATATAAAGAATACTAATTAGGAGTGTTCTATCAGGTTTACAGCCACTTCACGTGACATATTATCGTTGACATGATTTTCCAATAAGCTTATGAATTATTAATGATATTTGAAGCCAAATTCAAAATATATTATGGCAGTATATGATTGAGTTGTATACCAGTTGGAGTTTGATTGCAGGATCCATTGTTGTCCCAAGGCTACTAGTTTTGGGTCGTTTGGTGATTCCTATGATGATCAAGTGATGATTGAAGTGAGCCAAGATTGTTTACATCTGGGATCTCAAATGTGAACAGGAAAGGGTCATCTTGCTTTGGACCGCAACGTGACAGAGTACCGGCTTTTCATTTGAGATTTATTTTTGGAACTGTTCCCTATTAATTTTATGCTTGCATAAGCCAATTTCTTCAAGGAAAGGTGCTCGCTTTAAAGAGACCCTATCAAATACGGCACAGTTGTAGGAGCCCTACATCAATTTTGCTTTACCTCCACAAAATAATTTAACAAGGCTTTGTTTCAACTTAAATTAAATTAAAAATTTTCATTTACTCCAAAAAAATTGGACTCATCTTCTGTGTTTTTGATGGCGGTATCACCCCCTCAAAAGCACCCTCCTCGCATCCTCCACTGCAATGGCTATGTCAATCAGCAATACTCAGAAAACTCCGAGCTCCAGGAAGCACTCGAACTCACAATATATTCTGTTTGTTTGCCAGGCACTCCATACACTAAAAAGCTTAGATTAGCTTAATGATTAAGGTTATTAAGTAAAGTAATTATTCCTTGCATCTCGCCCTTTATGGGCCTCTAGACTGTACAGTAAGTACCGATCTACAAATTCGTGCGGTAACTGACGCTGTTAAATATCGGGCAACAGATAATTATTACCAATATCAAGCAGCTATTCTTAAAACAAACAACGACTTCTACTCTTACCCCTTTTGGTACTAGATATCGACCAAGATCGGTAACTTGTTTTACTGTCTTTTCCGGCAGACTATACGACAAAGCAGGATGTAGTCTGGCACTTTCTTTTAGAACAGACTCAAGATAAGGCAATTTAGTGCCTAGATCTGAGCCGTTGTTCTGGGTCACATCCGTGTAGAAAGTCGTCTATTTCCAGCCGAACTTTGTCCTGTATGGCCTGATGTTGGGCCAGGTCAGCGAGTACAAACGAAGTTGCAGCGTAACTGACGTCAATGTTCAGCAGCGTTATTTCGTTCAGAGTTTGGAACAGCTGACAAAAAGTATTAATTAAAGGCTTATTTAACAACTAATGGTTGTATCACGTTTATAACAAAGATTAAAAATTATTCCATTTTCTGATCAAATTGCGTATAAAAATTATTAAATTGTTGGTGATTAAAGAATCCTACTATTTTTCAAGAGTTTTAATACTTTTTAAATTTCATTTAGTCAGAATAAATCGTTACTACGCCAATGTGATCTTGCATCATTTCCTTGTTAAGGTGGCTTAATACAGTTTAAAAAAATATGGTAAATTCACGATTTAGATGCGTATTTTTGGACAATTATTACTTGTTGGTCGTTAAACAAAAAGTGCCTTACTTATATCAAACAATATCTAAAGAGTTTGAATCCTGGCTCAAAAGTTACGCGACTGCCGTTTCTATGGCAACAATGACGTTAAAAGACGGCGGATATTTTGGTTTTAAAGTAATTTAACACGTAAACGATATCGGTGTCCCCCAAATTGTATTTAAAAAATGATTTTTCTTAGTATACTCAATTATTTTGACAATTTTAAAAAAATTCTGTGGAGCCGAATTTTTTAAAAATACGTAAAGGTAATCGATTATGCATAATAATTTTTTGGCTCCAGAGAATTTACATTGTCAAAATAATTGATTATACTACAAGAAATAATTTTTTAAAATAAAAAAAAAACTCGTATAACGTAATTATCATATTAAATAATAACTGTTTGATAAAATTTTCTGTCTTTTGGTGTAATGTATTCACGTGAATAAGATGCTTGTGGTGTTACTCTGAGTGCATATCCACACTGGGAAGGCTTGAAAAATATGCCTTGCCACGGTGGATATCGAATCTACGACCTTTGGAACACCAGCCCAATGCTCTGCCAACTGAGCTACGCGGTCAGGTCGGTTCGACTATTTGATGTTTAGTTTCGCGGTCAGGACGGTTCGAGTATGTGATATTCAGTTCCGAAATATCACATACTCGGACCGAGCTCACTGAGTAGCTCAGTTGGCAGAGCTTTTATGCTTAGCATGTGATTTATAACAAAACGCACAATAAAACACTGTTTTGAAAACCTAGTTTTTACTTAGTCTTTGAATATCTTCCTAAAATGCTGGAAATGGCATTTCCGGGATACAAATTTCAAAATTTTCCGTGCCTTCCGCACAAGCCCCCTCCGATATTTCATAAAGTGTCCACCACTGATTAAATGTTGGAGTGGCGTCCTAAGTTTTCTAAATGAAGGTGGAAATAAAAGTCCTGCTATTGGAGGCGGCTCTAAAAAATGTTCAATATTTGGTATTTATCACCCACCGCCACTCCCCCCTTCATTATTAATGACCGGTCCCTAACGATCTGGGCCGAGATGGCACAGGTTGTTTGCATTTGTTGTGTTGAAGTCTTGGATGGAAAGGTAGACGGCTAAGCAATAAATAATAAATGTTGTGTTTCCACGAATTGAAAGATTTGAAACTTATAAGAAAGGGTTTCCATTACGTCATATTTGTTACCATGCAAACATTCAAGACATTGTTCATTAACATACCTCCTCTTCATCAAGTTCGATTTGATGAGTTTTTATACTTTCTACGATGGAAAAAAAACAACCTTCCCTTGAACGGAGACGCCCTTCTTCATATTCCTTGAACAAGAATCGATTAAAGCCATACAAAGCTGTGTTGAACGAGCGCGCTTTCCATTTCTTTTTTGTGGGAAGATACGTATAAAATGGCAGTCTAGTAACACCCAAATTATCCATTTCCAGAGTATCCTGAAGCATATCAAAGATATCCAAAATCCTTCCAAAATACTTTTCCAGGACGTCCTTTCCATAAATCTTGTGGACCAGGATTCGAAGTGTAAGGTTGCCTAGGGTTCGTTCATTCAGATCGACTGCTTTGCCAACAGTTAAGGTTTCTACGAACGATACACATTCTTGTTCCATAACTTTTAGGCTGTCTGACACAGCTTGGGTTGAGAAGTATTTCTCGAAAGGTCCTCGACATCTCCGAATTTCATCTCGTCCATGACTCGTAACCATACTTCTTCCGAGTATGTCTTCAAACACGGAGCCCAGGCAGGTCATGTTTCGTTCGCGCTCATGGGAATTGTGATCGATGTAAAACATGCGAACCGCTTTTGCATCGGATAGCATCCTGGAAAAAAATGGGTAAATAATGGATGAATCCATCCTTGTTGCAACATTTCCCTTAATTAAACACCCTGCGGATTGCATTTTATACTAGAAATACATGCATGCAGCAACACCTCGCATATAATTTTCAAACATTAATTAATCAATACGTCATGTATTAGGAATAGGCCAACAGTGAACGCCGGGTTGTTTTGTCAGTCAAGTATTGCCAACACGATTATTTTTATAACTTTATATATCTTTAATTTTGGTATTGTTTTTTGCACAAATTTCAAAAAATAATTCAAAAATTTGTACTTTTAGATATACAATAATGAATTTCCAAAATCTATACTCTTGTTATATTATTTTGCATTATAGGAGTGTCGTAAGTATGCTCATTCAACTGAACTGCCATTGCAGATGAACTGTCTAATTAATTAATTTAATTATGGTAATGTTTTATTTTATATGACACCCAACCCAAAGCAAATAGGGCGCTTTCGCCAATGCTCACAAACTAGCAGTCTATAACAGGCAGATTAATTGAAATAACAATCACAAATGCAGTGTAACTTAGGAAAAATTGATAGTGATACAACTACCTGAAAAGTATAAGTAATTGAAAGTAAACCGGACAGTTACCAAGTCAATTCTGTTATATGGGGCTGCGATGGAGAAAAAGAAACCCTCTTCTCGAGGATATGAAGATAGTGGAGGTAAGAAGGAGATGGTCTGTCCATTTGTTGACAATGAATGAAGAGAATAAAGCAAATAAAGCATGGAACGAAACAGTAAGAGAAATATAAACAACAAATGAGAGACATAAAAAGAAGGTGGACAGGAAAAAGAAAAAGAAAGAGAAGGAGAAGAAGAAGGAAAAGAAGAAGAGGATGGAGAAGAAGAAGATGGAGCAGATGAAGAAGTGAAGATGGAGGAGAAGAAGAAGATGGGAAGAAGATAAAGAAGATGGAGAAGAAGAAAAAGACAGAGAAGAAGGAAAAAACATAGAGAAGAAGAAAAGAAGATGGAAGAAAAAGGGAGAGGAAGTAGATGGAGAAGAGGAAGGTAGAGAAGAGGAATAAGTAGAGAAGAATACAGAGAAAAAAGATAGAAAAGAAAAAACAGATGGAGATGACGAAGATGGAGAAAAAGAAAATGGAGAAGAAGAAGAAAAAGGAGAAGAGGAAGGAGGATAAGAAGATGGAGTAGAACAAAAAGATGGAGGAGAAAAAAAGTGAGAAGGAGAAAAAGATGCAGAAGAAGAAATTATGATGGAGAACAAGAGGAAGAAGATGGTGAAGATGATGAAGAAGATGGAGAAGTTTAAGATGGGGAAGAAGGAAAAGATACGGAAGAAGAAAAAGAAGTTAAACAAGAAGAGTGAGAAGAGCAGATAGAAAAAAGGAAAAACGATCGAAAAGAAGAAATATACAGAGAAGAGAAGCAGAAGATGGAGAAGAACAAGATGGAGAAGTAGAAGAGGAAGAAAGAAAGTGAAGAAGAAGAATAATGGGAAAGAAGAGAAAGGTGGAGAAGAAGACAGAGAAGAGGAATGAGGAAACAAAAAATAGAGAAAAAAGAAAATGTAGAAGAGGAAGAAGAACATGGAAAAAAAGAAGATGGAGAAGAAGAAGTTAGAGAATTTGATCGAGAAGAAGAAGAAGATGGAAAAAGAAAAACATGGAAAAGAAAAACATGGAGGAGAAGAGGAAGAACGAGAGGAAGAAGAAGATGGAGCAGAAGAAGAAGATGGAGCAGAATAGGAGTAGAACAAGAACAAAATATACATACATACATATAAGAAAAAGGAGGAGGAGAACTGATTATTACACGTAAGATGGATAATATATATATATATATATATATATATATATATATATATATATATATATATATATATATATATATATATATATATATATATATATATATAGTTTATTTTAAAAATTTCTTCCCCAATGAACTCGTATAAGATGAGTCGTTTTTTAAGCTATTTAAAGCACTTGTAGTCGTGTTTTATCACATATAAAACATTCCGCTACGCGTCGTGTTTTATATGTGATAAAACACTCCTACGCGTGCTTTAAATAGTACATTTATACATATATATAATATATATATATATATATATATATATATATATATATATATATATATATATATATATATATATATATATATATATATATATATATATATATATATATATGGCGACGCGATCACATGCTCCCAAGCGCGCTGCGCAAATTTCAACAAATACTCCATCAAAAACGCCCAAGAAACTGGTTCTAGAGAAAGCAAAGAAAACCATAAATGCCAATAAAGAAGACAGAGATAATTTACACGAAGAAAAGCCTATGAATGTCGAAAATATGTTCGAAACGATTATGAGCAAGCTGGGTAAATTAGATATTATTGATGGCCGTATGATATCGATGGAACAAGAACTGAAGCAAGTAAAAGAATCTTTAGAATATGCATGTGCTGAAGTTGAAACGCTGAAGAAAGAAAACGCAGAGCTAAAGAAGTCAGACTCGGAGACGAAAGAAAGATTGGCGAAAGTAGAAGAGCAGAATTCAACATTAAATAGTCGCGTCATTGACCTACAAGCAAGGTCAATGCGCGACAACTTAATGTTTTATAATTTACCAGAGCGTGAGGACGAAAATACAAACAACCTCATACATAACTTATTACAAGAGCAACTTGGAATATCGAATGCGAAGACTATAAAGATAGACCGTTCACACAGAATAGGCAGAAGAACACCGGGATCGAGAAGACCAAGAGCCATTGTCGCGAAATTTAATTTTTACCCGGATAAGGAACGTATACTGGCTAACGCGAGGCGATTAAAGGGTACAGGAATTGCAATTTATGAACAGTTCCCGGAGGAAATTGTTAAATTAAGAAAGCGACTACTGCCAGAAATGAAGAAAGCACGTGAGGATGGTAGGAGAGTAAAATTAGTTAGAGATAAGTTATATATAGATGGCCAACTTTTTAGACATAATTCTACTCAC